TTTTCACCTCATCCTGTGTTTGTCCCCGGGTCAGGAGGTTTCTGCAGCTCAAGGGGACGTCGTTGATCTCCACCTCGGCCACCACCAGATCATCTTTGCTCTTCCCGGGCACGGAGCCTTTGCCCACTGCCTGCAGCTGAAATTAATGGAGATTAATTAAAAATTAATAGGGATTAATTAAAAATTAATAGGGATTAATAGGGATTAATAAAGATTAATAGAGATTAATAAGATTAATAACAGATTAATAGAGATTAATAGGGATTAATAAAAGATTAACAGAGATTAATAAGGATAAGTAGAGATTAATAGGTATTAATAAAATATTAATAATTTCCAGTTCAAAAACAAATAAATTTCCAGTTCAACACCCAATAAATTTCCAGTTTGACTCCAACTAAATTCCCAGTTTAACCCCAAATAAATTTCCAGTTTTACTTGAGATTTCCAGTTCAAAATTTCCAGTTTAACCCCAAATTTCCAGTTCAACACTCAATAAATTCCCGGTTGAACTGCAAATTTGCAGTTTCAAATTTCCAGTTTAACACCACATAAAATTCCAGTTTAACCCCAAATTTCCAGTTCAAAACACCAAATTTCCAGTTTAACATCCAATACATTTCCAGTTTAACCACAAATAAATTCCCAGTTTAAGCCCAAATTCCCAGTTTAAAACCCAATAAATTTCCAGTTCAAAACCCAAATAAACTTCCAGTTTAAGACCGAATTCCCAGTTTAAAACCCAATAAATTTCCAGTTTAACCCCAAATTTCCAGTTCAAAACCCCAAATTTCCAGTTTAACCTCAAATAAATTCCCAGTTCAAAATTCAATAAATTTCCAGTTCAACACTGAATTAATTCCCAGTTTAAGCCCAAATTCCCAGTTCAAAATAGAATAACAATAAAAGTATAATAATAAAGATAAAATAATAATATAAATATAACAATGAAAATACACTGAGTATAATAACATAAACATAATAATATTGAAAATACAATAGAAGTATAGTAACAATATAAGTATAATAATAAAAGTAAAACAATTATAGAAACACAGTTATAAAGATGTAGGAATAAAAATATAATAGCGATATAAATGTAATAATAATGAAAATATAATAACGAAAATATAATAATGAAAATATAATAATAAAAAATAATACAAATATAGTAGCCATAAAACTATAGCAATGAAAATATAAGAATAATAGTAATAGTAATAGTAATAGCAATAGTAAGAATAATAATAATAGTAATAATAATAATAATAATAATAATAATAATAAAAATAATAATAAAAATAATAATAACCATAATTTTTTAGCCAGATTTTCGGTATTTTCTGGTTTTTATGCCGGGCTCACCTTGTCGCCGTTGCCGGGCGCGGGTTTCAGTTTCCCCTTTGCCATCAGCATCGCGTTAATTTTGGCCGCCACGGCCGCGGCCGCGTCCAGCGCTCCTGAGGGGGCGGCGGCGCTGCCGGAGCCGCGCGGGCCGGGGGAGCCATCGGGGAACGGCCCCGGCAGCAGCAGCGCCCCCGCGGGGCCCGGCTGGTCCCATTTGCTGCGGCGCCTGCAAGAGAACGGAACGTGAGCGCTCTGAGAGCACCGGCCGTGGCGGAACCGCCGCTGTCCCGCCGCTCACCCGCCCGCGGTGCCCGAGTCCCGCGGAGCTCCGCCGCCCGCCGACATGGCCGCCAGCGCTCCCGCCGCCACTTCCGGCTGCCCGCCCGCCGCGCCACGCCGCTTCCGGGGTTGCCATGGAGA